GTCACACACGGCTTTGCGAGTATGGATGTTATGCGCGTGCAACTAGCATGCCCCTGTCTGCGCGCGCGTGTCTGTGTGTGAGTGCGCGTGTGTGTGCATCCTGTGACTGCGCGTCGTCTCGCTTTGCGGGTACGTTACCCGCTGCTACATTCGTCTGGGCCGTCTGGGTCTGGGCACGCTTGAGAATCGCACGACATACACCTCAAAAAAAGTTAGAAGTCAAATATCCACGTTGAATTGCGTTCAGACGAATTAAATTACAATTTTTCTAATTTTGCGATAGTCAGCGTGTGTGTGTGTGTGGGGGTGTGTGCGTGCCTGTGTGTGTGCGTGTGTGTGTGAGTTGGTCAGCCTGACACACAAAAAAGGCCGAGGAAACCCTCCGCCGCCGCCGCGTCGCTTCGCGTTGCAGCCCGTCGGCCTGTCCGTCCGGTTCTTTGGCCACATTCCTCAAATTGTAACAGGTCCCTTTTCGCGCGCCGTACTTTTCCTTCTCCCGGAAACCTCGAAGAAAGCGAAAAGAAAAACGGATAACAAAAGCACCTTTTATCATTGGCGGTGGCCGGGATGAACTTTATGGGTGCGTACCGCAACAGTCGCAAAATAGAAATATTTTTTAAAAAATGAAAATGAAATTGGTTATAAGTATTGCAAACTGATTCAATGAATTGAATGCCGTGACTATCTGATGGGTGATCCGGTGGATGGACCCTTCACGCTCCGTCTAGGGCCTAACCAACTCGCAGCGAACAACGGAGGGTCTGGTTGGTCTCGTTATTAGCCCACGAAAATGAAGCACTCGCTTCACCCTTTTGCTCACCGCACCGCCCTCCTCAGCTGCACGTTGGAACTCACGCTCAACCAGTGCATGTCGTCGGTGCAAAGTCAGCCTAGCACATTCACAGTGGCGTGTATACAGCCACCACGCGCTGGAGTCCTGCGGTGGTGAGATTGAAAAATTCCTCAAACTTGCGCAACGATACGACGCCTCCCACACACACCACACACCGCAGTGTGTCAACACGGCGAGCTGCGACGCGCCGCCACGCGAGCACGTCGAATTTGCCATACTTCCCGCCTTTTTGCGTTACCAGTGTAGGCGCCACCTCGTCATGCTTCCCGCGCCGCAGAAAACGCGCCAAATTTCTATGCGCCCCTGTTCGCTCTCGCGCTCTTCACTTGGGTTCCTCTCTCTCTCTCCCTCTTCTGCACCTTTCTTCGCCCTCGTTCTTTCTCTCTCCCGCTTTCGCTGGGTTTGGCGGCGCCTTTTCGAAGCGATAACTTGGACGGCGTTAACGTAATACCAGCAGCCGGCTGGTCCACCGTCTCTCTCGCACTCGAGCGGCGCCCCGCTGCGTCCCGCGAGGGTGCGAGAGAGACAGAGCGGCGTGGCTGCCGTGGCTCCGCCACCCAGATCCCGAATTCGCGGGCCGTCTCGGCACGCGTAACCCGGCGAAATGGCCGGCCGGGGTGGCGGACCGTAATCTCATTAAGAAAGCAGTGCTAGTCTGGCAACTCTGTAACGTGTTGCTGATTTTTTGTCAGGTCTGTACTCCGTCACCAAGACGTTTTCCCACACATGAGCTTTGGAAAAATAAATTTTAAACAAGTTTGCATTTTTTTTCGAAAGGCGGAAGGGGGGGGGGGGAGAATTTTGTTCTCTTTATGTTTGTCTACTCGAGTCAAAAAATAAAAACGTGTCCGAAGCAAACTTTCTCTGCAAGAAGCACACACAGCGTTTTCATTATTGCGCCTCCAGATAACATTCAGGCCCTGCTTTGCTGCGTTGCTTTGCTGCTTAGGCCGACGGCGTGCCGACGGCCCAGGCCCGGGCCAGCCCCGAAAACGCGCAGCGAACGCGCATCACATGCACGAGAACAATGCGAGCGCCCCGCCCCGCCCCGCCCCGCCCCGCCCCGCCACGCCGTGCCGCGCCGTGCCGCCTGGCGGCTCCTTTTTCGGCGTGTATGACTTTGATCGAGACAAGAGCGCACCACGCATAAAGCCAGCCAACCGGACGGCTAGTTTTCGGCGCGCTCGCCCGCGTCTCGTTGCGTTGGGAGCCTCCGCCGTTTTCAATGAAACTGTTTTTCGTTGTTGTTGTTTTTGTTGCTTCGCAGTGCCGAAGCAGAAGGCCGCGCCGGAACCAGCAGAGCAAGAAGTGCACCAGCGATGACATGCCGCCGAGGCGGGGGAGGGGGGGGGGGGAGTGGAGTGGGGGCGGGGAGGTCGCCCCGTGAGAACCCGTTAAGCGACGGTCGTCTGTGTCCCCGTCTCTGTCGCGCCGCGACGGATCGCCCCGCGAGTGCGAGAGAGACAGTCACTTGGCGCCTGCGAAGCGCGGGGTAGGCCGACCCGCAGCGCAGCCGTGTCGCGCGGGTCGGCCAGACGGACGGACACACGGACAGCCAGGCGGACGGACGCCGGACGCACGCATCGGCTGGTGAAAACGGGGCACGTAACAACACTCTACCGCCCGCATATCCTTCCGAATCACCGAGCGAAAATTCGGGCGTGGGCTGCCTCGCCACCGCACAGTGGGCCAGAAGACCGGTGGAGGCGGCCAAACCACCAAACTCTAGACGCGCTCTGAGCTCCAGAGTCGCTAAATGGTCCTCGAATCGAACGTGTGACCCCACCAATGGATTGCTCTCCGAACGAGGGATCCATTGGTGGGGTCACACGTTCGGTTCGAGTCCTGCTTAGCGACTCTGGAGCTCAAAACGCGTCTAGAGTTTTGGTGGTTTTGGCCGCCTCCACCGGTCTTCTGGCCCACTGTGCAGCGCCCCCTCCACCGCGACTGCCGTCTAGCGCCCACTCGAAGCTTATCGGCCCTGTAGGGCTTCAAGAAAAGGTAACCCGGCGCAAAAAGGCAGCAGCGTGGGCGGCGGTGGAGGGGGTTGACGGCGGAAGGTCGGGGACGACCACCGCGACGACGGTCGGGGGAGGGGGGGGGGGGCAAGGGCGCTCTGGTCCAGTCAGAGCGTGGCGTCGGGACCTGGACCAGAAAGAAGTTCAGCAAGGGAAAGCCCGGCGAGCAGCCGCTGTGATGAAAGGATTATGCCAAAGTGTGTGTGTGTGAGTCTGAGTGTGTTCGCCATCATATTGGCGGCTCGATGAGTAACTGACATACCGTTACAAAGTCTTCCCCTGGCCGGTGCGTCGTCGGCGTCCTGCATTGGCATGCCTCCAGTGTAGACACACCGACGCCGGCCGGCCGGCTGACCTGGGTGACATCCTTCGTCTGTTTCCCTTGTACGTACACACCTTTTGTTCCGGGCCGTGTGTGTGTGTGTGTTTGTGTGTGAAGACATGATGCCCTCACACCACTTTCCCCCGTGCCGATAACACGCACACGCACACACCCGCGCGAGCGTTCGAAATAAGTCACTGTCAAAATTATAAATTGGGCCCTGGTTCCTTCCCAACGGGCCGTCAAACTGGAGCCCCGGCCGGCATGGCCCCGGCATGGCCCCGGCATGGGTCTGGCCTACGGAATCTCCCGAAACGGTCATCGCAAGGACGGCGAGAAGAGCCTCGGGAAGGCGGCGCCACGGCGGGCCGACCGAGGCACGCGCTTGCTGCTGGAGCAACGTTCCAAACGCACTTTCAATTAGTCCAGTCATCTGGGAACAGAATTATTCTGCAACACGCTCAAAGTGAAGCGGCCCTTGCATGAACGCGCGCAAAAAAATAAATACACACACACAAATGGCAGTCACGACCCGTTGTTCTGCTCTTTCTCCGCTCCAGTCCTTCCGTGCATTTTCATTTTTTCGCGAGGAAAAAGAATGTTTCGATTGATTGTGCGCTGCGCTCGCTCCTGCCTACTCCTGCCGCGCCTGCAACAATGGTTCTGAAGAGAGTTGCCCTGGGAGGAAGCGGCCGCCAACGAGACGGCGAAAGAATGAGCCGGACGAAAGGCGCGACGAGTGTTGCGCTTCCATCATCGAGCTTCGATTGCGTCAACGCGAGCGACGCGAGCTCACCGACAAACATTCAAACATTCCAATATACGAGCACTGGGGATAGCACAGTGGGCCAGAAGACCGGTGGAGGTGGCCAAAACTCCAGACGCGTTTTGAGCTCCAGAGTCGCTAAGCAGGACTCGAACCGAACGTGTGACCCCACCAACGGATCCCTCGTCCGAAGAGCAATCCATTGGTGGGGTCACACGTTCGGTTCGAGCCCCATTTAGCGACTCTGGAGCTCAAAACGCGTCCGGGATTTTGAACGCCTCCACCGGTCTTCTGGCCCACTGTGCATTTGCCGCCCTCCTGGTCCACAGCGTTGCGTCGAGCTTTCCCGCGCTAAGCCCGTGCCGTCGCCGTGCTAAGCGGCCGTGAACGGCGAGAGGCGTGGTGCGGCGGCGCGGCGGCCGGGGATTTCGGAGGCGACGACGCCACTGGGAAGCCCTGCTGCAGGCCGGGCCGCCGGGCCGCCTCCACTCCTTTCTCTTGTAATTTTGAGATCGGCTCGCGTTTCCGGTTCCGATGCGCACGTCGTCCACAAATCACGTAACGGATCGGATGTCACGACGACGCGTCCGTGGTCGCCGCCAGGCCGCCTCGTCCACGCGTGTCCAGCCCGGCGGCGTGGTTTATGTGCCTCGGAAGCGCATTTGTCTGCTTAGCAGCGCTCCCGCCACGATCGAAAGGCCAAGAGGTTTAATTAGTGGCAGCGAGGCGCGTGCAGCCCGGGGTCGTTTCAAAGTGGGTACCACCTGCTAACTTGACATATTGGGATTTTGGTTTTCTATATTTCCTAAACGGCTAGAGATAAAAAATGCTATGCATAAGATAACGATAATTCAGAGTTCAAAATTCAATTTTGAATTTAAGTTATCCTGCCCTCAAATTTTGGTAGTCGAAACAAATCTAAAAATTGCAAACAAAAAGAGTAAATTCTTTCTTTTTTATGGAACAAAAAAGGAAGATTTCTTGACAGTAGCATCTAAATTTGAATATGCCAGTTGTCTGGTCTCTATATTCAGTACTCACCATGATTGGAGGCCGCTATCAGGAACACGGCGAAGGTTAATCCAAGCGCTCCAGCCACTTGCACGGATAATCCTGCCATGGTGCACACACAAGGGCGCACCAACACTACACACACGCACACTCACTCACACACACGCTCGCACAACTAGGGGTGTGTGCGGGGCGGACTAGACACGAGCGTCACTACGAGGGTGGGACGGAGGTCATCTTGCGGGCTGCATGTCTCCGGGAGGTCGTGCACGTGGTTGGACCTCGTGGTTACTCCTCGTGGTGCACCGGGTTTAGGTCCTCGTACTGCGTCCTGCGCGCGGGGCTGTCGGGGTACGACTGGAGGCACTGGGGCAGACCGCCCCCCGCCCGCCCCCTCCCACCGCCCCGACGCCGGGTTCGCGCCAGACACCGGCCAGCCACGCCTCGCCCCTCCAGGGGCCTCTCGGGGCCCCCGAACCCCACGCCGGTCCTTTCCCGTCTTCCAACCGACACTGGACCGGCGGTGGAAACTTTTTCCTGTTTGGTGTGGTCATTCTATTTTCTAAGATTTTATAGTAGTATGTCTTTTCACAAAATTTTTACATTTGAGATTTTTGGCAGTTTTCTAAACTTTTGGTAATTTTTCTGTAATTTTCCGATATTTTAATGTGTTGTGTGGGATTCTTTTTAAATTCTCCGTCGAGTTTTTGGAGTCCACATGGTTTTGGAGTCATTTTGCCCCCCTCCGCCTGGGCTTGATGGCGATGATTGCCTTTCTCTGGAGGTGAATCACAACCCTCAATCATTGCCGAGCTGCAACGCGAGTTTGCGAACCGCACCAACCAAGAGCAAGGGGGCCATCTCGAGGGGCTGTCCGGCTAAGGCCCTGCAGGCTCAACTCCCAACATTGTTTCTGCTTCGCTGTCTCTCTCTCGCACCCATGGGTGGGACTCGTATGGGAGCGGTACAGCGACAAAGCACCGTTCGGGAATAAAAACGAAACTCTGTCGATTTTTTTCTTCGATTTGTCCTTTTATTAAGCCACCAACACCGCAGCTCAATACTAGTTGCTAAAGCTTGTGTCTACCGGGACTGCCTGCCGTGTCATTCATTTTCGTGTTCGCCCTTCCTTGCAGTCCCTTGCAGTGGCGGGCAAACACCGCGGGGGCGGGCCAGGAGGGCCAGACAGGCGCGGCCAGACATCATCCAGACAGGCGGTGCAGCAGCAGGCACTTGCCGCCACTGTAATTTTCTCCACCTCGCCACACTCGAAAAGGGCCCGGCCCGAAACCCGCCCAGTTAGCGTCTGGGAGCGAGACGCCGCCAGAGAGAGAAAGAGAGGGGGGGAGAGCACGCCGCACGCCGCGCACGCAGCCGGCCGGCATGCACTGACCTGGTACAACGTACAGCGAGTGCGGCGAGTGCGCGAGGGTTACCCAGACAGCCCGACGGCGGCCGGCGGCAGACAGGCGGCAGACGGACGGACGGACCGGGGGAAGCTCGCTTGAGTTTCCAGTTTGGCGAATTAATGAGAAAGGTCTTTCTCGCTCTGGCCCGGGCCGGGCCGGCCAGGCTGACCCACATGCTCAATGCGGCCCGAAGGCAGCCCGAAGGCAGCCCGAAGGCAGCCCGAAGGCAGCCCGAAGGCAGCCCGAAGGCAGCCCGAAGGCAGCCCGAAGGCAGCCCGAAGGCAGCCCGAAGGCAGCCCGAAGGCAGCCCGAAGGCAGCCCGAAGGCAGCCCGAAGGCAGCCCGAAGGCAGCCCGAAGGCAGCCCGAAGGCAGCCCGAAGGCAGCCCGAAGGCAGCCCGAAGGCAGCCCGAAGGCAGCCCGAAGGCAGCCCGAAGGCAGCCCGAAGGCAGCCCGAAGGCAGCCCGAAGGCAGCCCGAAGGCAGCCCGAAGGCAGCCCGAAGGCAGCCCGAAGGCAGCCCGAAGGCAGCCCGAAGGGAAGGGAACCAAGATCGGACCGCAGCTACCCAATGGACCAGCACGCTTCGTGCCGCCGTCGGTTCTGCGCCACTTGCCACCCTTCTCCTGATTCACTTTAGGCCATCGACATTCGCGCCGTTTTACTGCCGATTTAGCGGTCCGCAACGGATTCACATTCGGATCGGGATTCGCGGAATATTCGGGGCGGCCGAGCGCGAGTTACGACTGACAGACGAAAGAAAAGAAAGAAGTGATGTCATTCGTGAAAGGCCGGAGGCGGGAGCGTCCCTCGGGACCCTTCCCTTTCACCTCCCTCACTGCCCCTCTCTCGTTTCTAATCGTTTTCGTCGCTCTGTCACTCTCGCACTTGTAGGGCATCCCGTATGGGTGCGGGAAAGACAGAGAGACGAAGACGAAAACCGCCTCTCGGAATCAGTCTACAGTACCAGCACTCAGAGAATCGAATGGAAGTGGACAGACAACAGGTAGCTACCGGACAAACTCTCACTCAAGAGAAGCCGTCCTGGGCGTTAACGCAACCACACCGTGGGATTTTCAAATTTATTTTTCTATTTTTTTAAACTGAAGTTGGCAGCACTGCGCGTGAAAATTCAGCAGTGGCCCGGAAGTGGCCGGCCCGCGCCAATCAATCGGTCGGTTGGCAGCACTGCCTGCGGGCGGACCGAATTCCGCCTCCCACACGTCGTCTGCTCCGCCGACACGCACTCCGGCCGGGCCACTCGCTCTGTCTCTCTCGCACTCACGGGGCCTTCCCTCCACGTGCGAGAGAGACAGCGACGAAAACGACTCTCAGTCCGCAGGCCACTGGAAGCTGGAAGTGGACTGGCCAACGTGTTGTCGCGCCGTGCGGGCTGCGCGGGCTGCGCGGCGCGGGCTTCGCATTCCGACAGGGTGGCCACTCCCAAAACAACAAACGGCCGGGGAGGCCGTGACTCGCGCGTCTTAATGTCGGGCGAATGTTAATGTTGGCTGCGCGGTTGGTCACAGTGAGGCAGGTCACTGCAAAACAGCGGGTGGAAAGTAGGGCTGGCTTCTTCACTGTCACTGTTGTCACTACTCCGCGTTCGAGAGACATGCCCGTAACGCCACCACGACAGTCTCTCACACACGGGGTAGCGGCGACGGTGCGGGTCTTTTCTCCGCTCGACAGAGGCGGCAGCCTGATGCCGAAGAGTGGCTCTGTCTCGTTCGCACCCCTGGGGCGATCCGCAGGGGTGCGAGAGAGACAGAGCGGCACCCGGCAGCACCTCGCCCAATTTCCATGGCGTGTTGTGATGGCTGGTCGGCGCGGCTGGTGTGTCCCGGCCTGCCCTGCCGGGTGTCAAATGGCCCATCATGATGTGACGCCCTGCGCCTGCGCGGCCTGCGCCCTGGGCCTGGCCCTGGGCCTGCCTGCGAGCGGCCCGGGAGAAACCACACGTTTCAATCAACGGCTCCGTTCATGCATTCATCGGCGGGCCGAGTCCGAAGAGTGTCGCGCTGTCTCTCTCGCGCTTATGGGGCTTCTCAGCGGTGCGAGAGAGACACTTGCGCTGCCTTGCCTTGTCTGCTATCTTCGCACTTTGCAGCAGCGTTCCCGAGCGCTGACTCTTTCCTGAATTCTCCGACCTGCAGACCGATTCCGAGAGTCGTTTTTGTCGCTCTGTCTCTCTCACACTCATGGAGCGTTCCTCAAAGGTGCGAGTGAGACAGAGCGACAAAAATGCTTCTCGGAAGAAGGCTGCCGCTCATATCCCCGCGCGTGAGCAGTGAGCGTGTGTCCGGGGTGTGTCCGTTCTTTCTCCCATTAATTGCCATTCGCCGCGATGGACCGCTTTGGACCGCTTGGGACCGGCCCACAGAGGGCCAGAAGACCGGTGGAGGCGGCCAAAAATCTACACGTGTTTTGAGCTCCAGAGTCGCTAAATGGGTCTCGAACCGGACGTGTGATCCCACCAATGGATTGCTTGCTCTCCGAACGAGGAATCCATTGGTAGGGTCTCACGTTTGGAGCTCAAAACGCGTCTGGAGTTTTGTCCGCCTTCGCCGGTCTTCTGGCCCACTGTGCGGCCGCGCCGTGGAGGTGGAGGGGGCGGTGAAGGGAGCTGCTTGAGCGTGCCCAGCGTGCCCGGGCAGGGCCTAAGGCAGGACCTAGTCGTAAGTCTCAGAACAAGAACATTGTTGTGCCGGCAGTTAGCGAGGCGACCAATCAGCAGCCCGCTTTCCCTTGTGTCGGCTGCACTGCACGTCGACCTATCGATCTATCGAACCGAATCGACCAGCCTTGACCGAGTGGGTCTTTTGTTTTGGGTCGGGTTGGCGAGTCAAATCCGTCAAATTCAGCCTGCCTGGTTGTTGGCGACAATGACAACCAGCTTTGAACAATGCTTGCCAGTCTTGGTGAGTCGTACTAACCTGCAAACCCGGTTCGGTCTTGGCATTCGCCCAGGACGTTTCCCCATGCACAGTGGGCCAGAAGAACGGTGTCCGAAATTCTAGACGCGTTTTGAGCTCCAGAGTAGCTACATGGGATTCGAACAATACGCGTGACCCCACCAATGGATTGTTCTCCGAACGAGGGACCCATCGGTGGGGTCACACGATCGGTTCGAGTCCCATTTAGCGACTTTGGAGCTCAAAACGCGTCTGGTGTTTTGGCCGCCTCCATCGGTCTTCTAGCGCTTCTAGCCGATGTGCCATGGTTCTGCCCATAGTGGAGATTGACTGGTGTGAACACTGCGAACAGCGACCGCTGCGTTGTTGGCAGTCGGCGGCTCACCGCGGCGCGGTGACGCAACCCGCAGCTGTGGGCCTGCAGCTGCCGCAGCTGCCGCGACAGCGCGTCGCCGCGTCGCCGCCAACGAGTGCCTGTTACCGGCTGCGGCCATCTTCGGGGAAGTACACTGCAGTCGGCATGCACTAGCTGCGAGATTCGGCAGCCTCCAGCGGTCTGTACCCTAACCGCGATCCCGCGGTGTCTTTCTCGCGCTCGGGGGCTTTCCTACGGGTGCGAGAGAGACAGAGCGACGCAGGATGATTGCGCTGCGTTTTGGCGCATGAAGGGCGACGGTTGGGGCGCCTGGTTGCAGCCGGCGTCGCCATGATCCTGGCCGTGCTGGCCCCGGTGGTGGCGATGGTGGTGTCCATCACCACCACGGCGTTCCTGGTGCTGCAGACCGCCTTCCTGCTGCTGGCCGCCGCGCTGCGCGTCGCCGCGTGCGCGCTGCTGCCGCTGCTGCAGGCCGTGCTGGCCGTGCTGCTGTACGCCCTGCGGCCCGTCATGCTCGTGCTGGGCTGGCTGCTCGGGCTGGCCGCCGTCGTGTTCCGCACCCTCGTCGCCCACCTGTCCCGGTGGGTGGCCGCCCTGTCCGCGCCGCGGCCAGCCCCCCGCAGGACGCAATGAGCCCCCAATAAACAGTGTCCCCGAAGTGCCCCGGGCCCCTGACCTAGGCGACGCAGCCCCTACCCTCCCCCGCACCGCGACGACCTCCATCCCGAATTGGATCGCTTTGGTCTGCGACGGCCTGCCGACCGATTCAGAAGAGTTGTTTCGTCGCTCTGTCTCTCTCGCACTCATAGGCTCTCCGTAAGGGTGCGAGCGAGACAGAGCGACAAAGCGATCCTCTGAATCGCTCGGCTGGCGGGCCGCGCTTTTCCGAGTTCTTGAACCGCATCGGCTTCGCCATGGCTTCGCTGCTTTGCTGCTTCGCTACTCGGCTGCCGCCTTGATTCCGAAGGCTTGTTTCGTCGCTCTATCTCTCTCGCACTCATGGAGCGCCCCGTACACGTGGGAGAGAGACAGAGCGACCAAAAGATCCGAATGATCCTTCGGAACCAGGCGGCTGGCTATCGCGTAACCTTCCGATGGCAGGTCAGCCCAGCAGACTGACTCCGGGCACTGTTTGTCGCTCTGTCTCTCTCGCACCCTAAGGCGACGACCCCTGAGTGCGAGAGAGACAGAGTGACGAAAGCAGGGCTAGGAACGGGGCCAAGCGGAATGACTGCCTGTCGAAAACCAACTCCGCGAACACGCAGCGCGGCGGCTCACTTGCCCAGTCAAATGGGGCACGAGGGTGTCAACCGTTTACAGCCCGGAGCGCATTGGGCTAGAGGACCGGTGGAGGCGGCCGAAACTCTAGACGCGTTTTGAGCTCCAGCCAAAGTAGCTTGGGCTCGAACCGAACGTGCGACCCCACCAATGGATAGGTCTCCAAGTGAGGAATCCATTGGAGGGGTCACACGATCGATTCGAGCTCCATTTAGCGACTCTGGTGCTCAAAACGCTTCTAGAATTTTGTCCGCCTGCACCTGTCTTCTGACCCACAGTGGGACAAGGAGCAAAGAAGATTGGGCACTGCAAAGGAGCTCCCGGCCCGGAAGCAGAATAGAGACAGCGACGAAAACGACTCTCAGTGTGCTGCCTGCCTGTCCGGTGCGCGCGCGTGGCTCGCAGTGTAGTAACAGCACCGCGCTCGCCCTTGACCCCGGACGCCACTTTCGGCCACCGCGTTCGGCTGCCGGCCAGTGCTCCCCGGCGGACGAAAACAAAAGTGACTCGTTCGACCGTTGGTGTGAATGGAGTGGCTAGACGCGAGCCCGTTGCTTCGGTCGCTTGTCTCTCTCGCACCTTCACGAGACGCCCCACACAGTGGGCCAGAAGACCGGCGGAGGTGGCCAAAACTCGAGACGCGCTTTGAGCTCCAGAGTCGCTGAACAGGACTCGAACGTGTGACCCCACCAATGGATTGTTCTCCGCGAACGAGGAATTCATTGGTGGGGTCACACGTTCGAGTCCTGTTAAGCGACTCTGGAGCTCAAAACGCGTCTCGAGTTTTGGCCGTCTCCACTGGTCTTCTGGCCCACTGTGGGGCGGCGCACTGCAGCCCTTCACGCAGCCACCCGTTGGGGTATCGACGCCGAGCAGGGAGGTTCGGCCACCCGGTCGGGCAAGCAATCCGCCGCCTATCTCGCCGGTTGCGGTTTCTCCCGCGCGGAGACGTAAAAATTTGAAACTCGCCACGGTCCGCGGCCCAGCGGCGGCCCGTTGTCGCTCCGTCTCTCTCGCGCCCCCGACGCCTGCGGCAGCCTGCGCGGCGCGCCAACGAGCGCGAGAGAGACAGCAACAGCGGGCCAGGGGGGCTAATCAGAATGGCTGTGGATGTGGAGTAGACGGAGTAGAGCAGAGCGCCATTAGAAAGAAGTTTCGCAAAAAGCCTTCCGCGCGGAACCTGTCCGCGATCAACACGCGACATTTTTTTCTCTCGCTGCCGACGCTCTGTCTCGCTCGCACCACTACGGACGGCGCCCCGAGTGCGACAGAGACGCAGCGACATTCTTCGGAGCCAGTCTGCAGTTCCGGCCCCGCCTCTGACGTCACACGCGCGTCTGCTGGATATTTTGGAGTGGCGAGGCGGCGGGCTGTGCGGGCAAGTCCGATGGGCCCCGTCGCCGGCCGGACAGTGGGCCAGAAGACCGGCGACGGCGGCCAAAATTCTAGGCGCGTTTTGAGCACCAGAGTCGCTAAATGGGACTCGAACCAAACGCATGACCCCAATGGAATCCTCGTTCAGAGAGCAATCCATTGGTGGGGTCAGACGTTCGGTTCGAGTCCCATTTTGCGACTTTGGAGCTCAAAACGTGTCCGGGATTTTGACCGCCTCCACCGGTCTTCTGGTCCACTGTGGGCCGTGCCGCCGTGCGGGCTTGCCGCTCCCATCGCACCCAGCGCCCCCAGCGCCCCAAGCCGATATCGGACTCTGCTGCTTTGCTTTCTCTCAGGTTCCGTCCGAACCTTATGTCCATGAGACGCGCGGTCCACGGTCCGAGAAAGGAAGTGGAGTGGTGGGTGGGCGGATGGATGCGACCAATATGCTCATCCGGCCGAACGAACGCCAGGAGTCTGTCTGTCTGTCTGTCTGTCTGTCTGTCTGTCTGTCTGTCTGTCTGTCTGTCTGTCTGTCTGTCTGTCTGTCCACCACAGGGTACTCAATGAACAAATGAAATGACCTCCCCGTGTTGTTCCAATTTTTATTGCCGGACATCAAAATTAAATTTACAGTGGTAGCGCCTCTTAAGCCAGCTTGAGCTAACTGTTCTTCTCTGAGGACCAACTACGTCATCACCTTTCAATAAATATGCTTCCAATCAGCCCATCTGTCTTTTTCACACATACATATCGCTCTCTCACTCTATTTACAATTTACACATATTTACACGCACCCGCCTACCTTACTCTAGGTGTATCACAATTGTAGTTCACAGCCTCCGGAGACCCTCCGTCGATCAGAAAAAGAAGAACCTCCTCCGTGACTGCCTAAGACGTCTTGCCCTCGCCATCGCTGCACAAGAAAAAAAAACAATAGAAGTCAATGCTGTTGTGAAAACAACAAGGCACTTATCAGAACTCATTTCAATTAGCGTGTTAGGTTAGGTGGGTGTGTCCTTTACATTACAGAGACCAAGATATTTTTTTAGATTTAATCTTTTACCCATATGCACATGCACGGAAAATGAGAAAAGGTATAGCGATAGTTGATTGCGGGAAAAATCTGCGTTCCACCACCTGCGCTCCATGCGCGCTGTGCGAGGGGTAGGTCATTCCCTCTCGACCGTGCCAGGTACAGTGGGCCAGAAGACCGGTGGAGGCGGTCAAAATCCTGGAAGCGTTTTGGACTCCAGAGTCGCTAAATGGGTCTGGAACCGAACGTGTGACCCTACCAAAGGATTCCTCGTTCGGAGAGCAATCCATTGGTGGGGTCACACGTTCGGTTCGATTCCTGTTTAGTGGTTCTGGAGCTCAAAACGCGTCGACACTTTTGGCCGCCTCCACCGGTCTTCTGGCCCACTGTGACATGGCGCCAAGCCACGGCCACCCTGCACCAGCGCGATCACCTTACCTCCCAGCGGGGTCGACATGCATGACAAGCTCGAGTGCCTGCGGCAGGACGGAGGGCCTTCGGGACCCCCGTCACCTTCGCCGCCGCCGGGGACCTTGCTTCGCCTCTGGAAAGCGGCCGCGCCGCGTCGCCAAGGTCCTGGACCAAGTCCTGGAGAGCGCCGTCGTCCTTCTGTCTCTCTCGCAGGTAGTATCTCGCGAATTCGGCGCGAAATAGAATTTCAGCGTGTGTTACGCAACTCGTACCGCTAATCCTTCCTAAAGCCCAGCTGCGTGGGACACCAGGTCTGCCACCAGGTCAACTGGTCGCTCTTTTTGCGTCTTTAAAACCACTTCACTCAATGTCGAAGTTTCTTTTTAATGTTTTCCCCGCCTGGCCTTGGCCTTGGCGCCGGCACCCTCGGCGCGCACTACGGGGCTGCGTGCGAGTCGTCGCGGGTACCGTCGGTGCACTGCTAGTGCCGGTCGCCTCGAACGCCCCCACGGGCCAGGCCGCACAGTGGGCCAGAAGAGCGATGAGGGCGGCCAAAACTACAGACGCGCTTTGAGCTCCAGAGTCGCCACATGGGACTTGAACCGAGTGTGACCCCCACCAATGGATTGCTCTCCGAACCAGGAGAATCCATTGGTCGGGTCACACGTTCGGTTCGAGTCCCATTTAGCGACTCTGGAGCTCAAATCGCGTCTAGAAGTTTGTCCGCCTCCACCGGCCTTCTGGCCCACTGTGGGGCGCCCTGCGAGAGTGCAGTCAGTGGGCCGCGGCCCGCCGTCCAGCCGCTCAGCCTCGGTGAATTGATTAACTAGTAGATGACGCGCGAGCCAAGGCGAGTGGAGGTTATGCGGGCGGTTACAAGCACACTAGTAATCATTGCCGCACACTTGTACAGTCACTGCCGAAAGAAATGAGCCCCGCCGTAAACTCGAAGGGGCATCGTTGGAAGTCGCTTGCCGGCGGAGTGTCGCCGGGCTCATCTCTTTTAGAAATGACGATACACTGGAAAAAGTTTTGTTTTTTTACTTTTACTTTTGCGCACTCTAGCAAGAGGGCGAAAACACAAAAGCCGAGAGGGAGAGTGGACAGAACTGAGTAATGTGACGGCTCGCCAGACCGCCGAATCCAGTTTGACCACCCGGGTATGAAAAACTCGGAGGTGAGCGGTCAGGCTTGAGGCCCGGGCCTGTTCCGTCTGCCCGTGGTCTGCCGGTGCCGGGGGCCGCCGCCAGGGGCCAGCCGAGCTTCGTTTCGTCGCTCTGTCTCTGTCGCACTCATGAGGGCCTCCATGAGGGTACGAGAGAGACAGAGCGATGGAGCGATCTTTTGGATCGCTCGGCAGGCGGATACACAGGTCTCGTTTCGGCCAGGTGCTGGCATGACCGGCTCCAATCCCAGGCGGCGGTCCACTTACTCTCTCTCTCTCTCGCCAAGAGCGGCCGCCCCGCGAGTGCGAGAGAGACAGAGCGACGAGAGCTCTCCTCGGAGCCAGCGTAGTAGCCAGCGTGCCGGGAGGGCCTTGCTCCGCCTGCCCGACACGTCACGAACAGGCTCCTGCACGTCACGAAAACGTCACTGCCTTACGTTTTTGTTTTGTGCTGAGATAGCGCGATAGGTTTGTCTGCTGAATGCATCGGTGAGATAGTCCCTGGTACCCGCACGGCAAATGCCTGGATTGCCCTGAGACTTCCTTGTTACGAATGCACTTCCCCGAGCCCTGGCCTGCCTATCTTTTGATTTATTTTGAAGATTCGAACGGGCCAAACCCCGTGTAACGCCGGCCCTCCCACAAATCACCAAGTATTGACAGACAGCAGGGCGAGCTCCAATGATTAACTACACAAAGCAGGCGAGTGTCCAGCCCACTGTCCGTTGGCCTTACGCTGTAAGATTCCGACTGGCCTTCTGGGTCAAGTCAGAGAAAGCCGTGTTCAAGACCGTCAAGGCTAGAACAGTGGAGGACCATCGGTGGAACTACCAATGTGAGAGTCCGTCGAGCTGCGAGGAGTTGTAACGTTTTCTCAAACATGCAGGGTTTGCCACAGCCATGCGGGAAGACCAAGTCGACTGGAGACCGAAGCAGACGACGCACCGGCCACCACTGGAGGGACTCTCCGGCCACCACCACAGGGGATTAGAGTTAACTCTGTTTGGTTTTTCTGTTTATTTCATGCAGGTTAGGCTAGGCTGGTTTGCTCTCACCACTCGGGGAGGGCGTGATGCCCGCCTCGCCCTTGGCGAAGGGCAGCTTGTCGCCCGTCTCCAGGAAGAAGGTCCCTCTTGTGCTGGAAAGGGAGAGACAGGGCAACGTGAGCGAGGAAGGGAACCCAAGTTCGCGCGTTTTATGTGTGCCTCGCGTGGTGGCGAGTCGCACAGCGGATTTGCCAGAAGACCTGTGGAGGCGGCAAAAATCCCCGACGCGTTTTGAGCTCCAGAGTCGCTGAATGGGACTCGGACCAAACGTGTGACCCCACCACTGAATTTCTCGTTCGGAGATCAATCCCCCATTTAGCGACTCTAGAGATCAAAACGCGTCCGGGAGTTTGACCACCTCCGAGTCGGTTGGGCTGCCTGCCGTCCGGGCGGAGGACGGGCGGGTGGCGTAGGATGGGCTGCCTACCACGCAGGCGCTGCTGTAGCGCGCCAGGTACCCCCACTCCTCCCCGGCCCGGCCAGTCTTGGCGGGAAACTGGCAGCCAGCCGCATGAGACATGTTCCGTTCTCAGGGCAGAAATGAAGCTGGAGGATTCCGGAAGGACCGCTGAGGACGAGGATGACTGCACGGCGACGGCCCTCGACTCACTCCGAGCCTGGACGCGTGCTGTTGTCGTTTTGTTTTGCGTTCGTGCCGGGGAGGTTTTGACCCTCGTTTTGACCGGTTTGGCGCGCCGCCTGCGCGGGACCGCCCGATATGACGTCCGTCGTCGCCGGCAGTAGAATGATTCCGAGAGTCTTTTTCGTCGCTCTGTCTCTCTCGCGCTCATGGGGCGTCCCGTATAGGTCCGGGAGGGACAGAGCGACGAAACCGACTCACGAAACCCGCCTGCAGGCAAAGGCAGTCTAGCCAGGCACGGCGCCGCGAGACAGCGGTCCGGCGTAGTCAAGGAGTTTTGCCGTCGTTTTATTGCCTCGGCGAAATCGATTCCCGGAAAACAGACGCGCCGGCAAGGCGGCAAGGCCCACAACTAGCTCCCAAGGTACAGTACCGTCACGGTTCCGTCCCAGTTTTAACTCTTCTCCTTGCCATTCCGCTAAATTGCACTGACCTAGGGTGCGCGTGGTAGCCCATGGTGACGGGCTTGTTGCCGGAGCACCTGCCGCTGCCGAAGGCCTCCATGCTGGGGCACTGCACGGCGAGGAAGGGCGTGCCGGTCGCGTTGAGCGACTCGGCGAAGAACCGCCAGGACCGCCAGTGGCTGCAGAAGTCTGCACGGGAAAGGGACAAAAAGGAAACACGTTTTACAGTGTCCGAGCGCCAGGGTGGTGCACAGAGGGCCAGAAGGCCGGTGGACGTGGTCAAAAACGCGGACGCGTTTTGAGTTTCAGAGTCGCTAAACAGGACTCGAACCGAGCGTGTGACCCCACCAATGGATTGCTCTCCGAACGAGGAGTCCATTGGTGGGGTCACACGTTCGGTTCGAGTCCTGTTGAGCTACTCTGGAGCTCAAAACGCGTCTAGCGTTTTGGCCGCCGGCGCCGTTCTTCTGGCCCACTGTCGGTTCGAAACAAGTGGATGCTGGCCGCACCGTCGTCGGACAGGATCCGGGCGCCGGCCGGGCAGCCGGGCTGCAGCCGCGCGCCGCCGTTGGGGTAGAAGTCGGCGTGGCCGGTGGGGTACGCCACGCCGTAGCTGCCGCCGTCCGTGTGGATCACGTCCACGAAGAGCGCGTCCGAGGACGACAGGTGGCTGGTCCGCAGGTTGGGGTTGTTGAACCCGGGCAGGGCGGGGTCCAGCGCTGCGGAGGAGAGGAGCGGAAAGCCGTGTTGTAGAGATAAGCTTACGAGTTCCTTATATCTAGGTGCACGTGTAAAACCTTAGGAAGTATTTTAAGCATACACAGTACAAATTAATTTAGCTTGTTATACGAAGAAATAGTTCGTAAATTACAAAGTGTTTTCTTTGTAAGCTTATGTATGATACTTTGTTATAACAAGCTACTTTTCTTTGTAAGGCCAAAAATGGTTTGTAAGGTTTCCAGAGTGTGAGCGTTAATTTTTAAAAAATAACAGTTTTTTTTTTAAATAAGGTACTGACCTGTAATTCTGGGTATTTTACCCTTGGTGAGGAACTTGCCGGCGAAGCCCGCGGCCTGGCCGCCCAGCGAGTGGCCCACCAGGTACACGGTGTCGATGGACAGCGCCCCCGCCTCGTGCCACGCGTCCAGCTGGTAAGCCACCATGCGACCCACCTCGGACACCAGCATCAGCGGGATGGGGTACAGCGGCGCGGCCGCCTTGGACCAGTCCACGAAGATGACGTTGTACTTGGCCTGCGCGATGAAGGCTGCGGGCAACACCGTGTCACACAGTGGGCCAGAAGGCCGGCGGCGGCGGCCAAAGACGCGTTCAGAGCTCCAGAGTCGCTAAATGGGACTCGGACCTAACGTGTGGCCGCATCAATGGACTCTTCGTTCGGAGAGCAATCCATTGGTGGGGTCACACGTTCGTTCGAGTCCTGTTCAGTGACACTGAAGCTCGTCCGTGACTTTGACCGCCTCCACCTGTCTTCCGGCCCACTGTGCGTGAGTCAGCGAGAGGACGACGCCGGCAGAATCAGCCAGCATCATTTGGGGTCCAGCCATTAATCGCAATCGCAATCGCAGGGGCAGTGTAGGCACCCCGCCGCACTGCGGCGCGCGCTGTGCGAGTGGTTGCCTACCCCCGGTTGGTCGGGCGCTCAGGACGCCGACGTGCTTACCGCTCATGACCACCTTGACGCTCTCCTTGTCCGGGGTCTCGGTGTACCCGTGGAAGTACATCATGGTGGGCATCCTGGGGTCGAAGCGGATGTCGTTGAGCACCTTGTCGGCCTGGGGCAGCGCGAAGTACTGCGCGTAGTCCTCCAGCGAGCTGCAATCCATCACGACCCATCAAACATTTCTTCTTTTTACCGTCCGCGCCTGTCCGTTTTGTCGGGCGGCTAGGCACACTGGGATTTGCAGTGAGGTAGATCAGTACGGACCCTCCGTAGATGCGCAGCTTGACGGTCTTGAGCAGGGAGGAGCCTGGGATGGACCGACTCCGAAACGTGGCGCTCACTGAAAAACGCAAAAATTAAAAATTATTGCAAAGCGAATGGACAGGCAGAGCAAGCGACGACGCGTCTCAGCAGGAGGGATCTTCGTTTTCGAAAGCAAAAAGCCACGTGGCGAAGAGGAGACACCTTTTTCCCCGTCCCTAACCTTGCCTAACCCCATTTGACGGTCCCGACCTAACCCCACCCAAACCTCCTCTTTCCTCGGCGGAGGTCGCGCGCGCGGTTCGACGACCTAACCCAACCTGAGCAAGCAGAATGTCATTTTTGGTCGGCGGTGGTGAAGTGATGCGTGCGATCCGAAAAGTCCTGAAGCGGCGCCCAGCTCGCAAGGCGCCGGATTCACGAACTCAGTATTCGTGAACAGCGGGTTCTCGTTCTCACCGGGAAACGCGAGCGCGGCCGCGACGAGCGTCACCAGCAGCAGGCAGCGAGGCGGAGGCATGGCGGCGGAGCGGCGATCCTGGGGGAATCAGAGAACACAATTACAAAAACAAAAACAACATTTATTTTGCTCACACTGAGAACAGTGGTTTCTATTTTTTATCGCCAAACAGACACGTAGCTCGTCCAGTTTCAAAAGCGACGCGACGCGAGAGAAGTGAAACACTGGATGCGCCTGCAGGCGTAACTCTTTTTTTTATGTGTGTGTGTGTGTGAATGCGGCGACGAATATGGTCAGTCCACGTGCCCTTCCATGCATTCCATGCTTCAGCAGCAAACGCGCTCTTCTTTGCCGCCTAGTGCCTTCGCCGCTTCGCCCCCCCCCCTTTCCCCCCAACACACACACAACCATTCCTAATTTCCCACGGAAGGCAGATCCGGCGGCGCCGAATTTCGCGGTAGCTTTCCACCTACTTGCTTCCCTCCGCGGAAGCGTGGGATGCCCGATCTTGAGAAGGTCACGTACTCCGCGTAGTCCACGTAGTTCGCGGGTGGCCGCCTCCGCACCGCCCCACCGACACGGTCCGGCCGCGGTCCAGCGCGCCGAGCTGCTCGCAAGTAGGGTCCACGGCGGCGCCTTTGTGAACAGCTCGACGCCGTCTTGCGGAAGCACCACGCCGGTTTCCGTCACACTCGTTTTCAAAGCAAGAAAGGCCCAAAGCACGAATAAAAAAAATAGTTGTGCACCTGCGGCATGAACTTGAAGGCCCTATCACTACGTAGCATCCCCTCAATCGAACCGGATCGATAATGTCGGCTCCTCTTTCAAAGAGCAGACGCGTATTGTCGCGGCTAAACACGTGCGTATGTGGTTTGGCTTTGCGGTGGGCTGGTCGACCGGGCCGATCGGGCAGCGCGGGCACGCAGAAGGCACGCACAGTGGGCCAGAAGACCGGCGCAGGTGGCCAAAACTCCAGACGCGTTTTGAGCTCCAGAGTCGCCAAACAGGACTCGAACTGAACATGTGACCCCTCGAATGGATTCCTCGTTTGTGGGGTCACACGCTCGGTTCGAGCCCCATTTAGCGACTCTGGAGCCCAAAACTCGTGTAGAATTTTGGCCGCCTGCGCCGATCTTCTGGCCCACCGTGCGCAGGTGGGATGAATCGGGCGATGACGGTCGACGCGGTGGTCGACGCGGCGGGTAAAGACACGCAACACGCAACCAGAATCAGCACTACCATCAGCATCGGTAGGGAGAAGACAACGACCCAGCACGGCAGCACTTTGGCAAATCCGGCCGGCGCCACTTTTGGACTTTTCCGATCATCTGCGGAATAGCACCGCGATCACCGCACCATCGGGATAGCCCACCGGTAGTACCTGGCCGGCCACCACAGGATCGCTCGTCCACTCACTCATTCACCCACTCACTCACAAGCGCGGATCCAGAGACGGAAAGGGGGGGGGGGACCGGAAGGAAGGAGCACCAACAAGCACGCCGTCATCCTGGACCCCCTGGACGGACAGTGGACACAGCAGCTCGCGAGCTAGGGTCGGCGCACTGGCGACAAGGCGCTCCATATCTCGAGTTGAACATGAACGAGTGCGTGCACGCGTGGATACCTTTTGGGCGACGCCCCTCCTTGTCTGTTCGTCAATAGCCAAACCGGTCCGGCGAGCGCCGCCAGACGGCGTTTTCGAAAAGACGGCAAGTCCCCGAACACGGACCAACACAGACACACGGACGGGGGAAGACGGCATCATCTCCCCCGATCGACCGTGTCCTTTCAGTGTCAATGTCGCTCGCGGGGTCGGCCCGGTCGGGTTCGGTCGGCCCCGACCGCCCCGGGGTGCGTGCGGGTGGTGCGGGCCACACAACACCCCTCCCGCTCGCGGCGCGGACGCGTCACGAACACGTCACGGACAGACTTGGCCACATGGCGTGGGACGCTCGCTGCCTTTTTGTCTTTTTGTGCCCCAATCTGTCCGGCCGCGAGGACACGCGACATATTTCTCGCACTCGCGTGTCTTGTCTCGGCGTGGGGTAATCGCGGTGCCCAAAACATGGAAGACACCCGCCAAGTCCACCTGGGACTGGCTGGGTATCCCTGCACTGTAATGACGCGGGCTTCCGGCATTGCAGCGTGATGATACATTGTATGGCTGCACTTCGGGCGGCCTGCAGTGGGCCAGAAGACCGGCGGGGCGGCCAAAATCCCGGACGCGTTTTGAGCTCCAGTGTCGCTCGAACCGAACGTGTGACCCCACCAATGGATTGCTCTCCGAACGAGGAATCCATTGGTGGGGTCACACGTTCGGTTTGAGTCCCATTTAGCGACTCTGGAGCTCAAAACGCGTCTAAAATTTTGGCCGCCTCCACCGGTCTTCTGGCCCACTGTGCGGCTGCGCTCACACCACAGCATCGCCAGCATCTTGTGCCTACCTAAGATTCTCGCCCGAAAAAAAGACGGAAAGATTTCCCGCAACTCCGAATAGTACCTTGCTTCCGGGTGCTGCCCAACCCAGTCGAGCGTCGAGCGATTCCGAAGGATTAGATTTGGTCGCTCTGTCGCACTCACGGGGCGTCCCGTAGGGCCGCGAGAGAGACAGCGGATCGGGCCCGGCGGCATGGCCGTCCACTAAGCCTGCTCCTCAGTTCACGCCCAATGCCAGGGTTGCCGGGGATGCAAAATAGACGATTCGGTGACGTCACCGCCAAGAAGGCCGGCCGCATGCGTTTAGTTTTAGTTCGTTGTTGTTTTCTCGTGTCGCGTGGGCGGCGGGGAATTTGTTGTTTGTTGTGCGTGTCCAGAAGCGAGTTCGATCGTTCCGCTTTCGGGCCATTTCGGTAATTAGGCGACAAGACGAGCAGGCGGCGGCAGCGGCGGCAGCGCGTGGCAGTTCAAGTTTACGGTCAGAGTGGCCGCCTGGCCGTGCTAGAGGCGCTGCCCGCCGCACCGGTTCCCACAAGGCCGAGCCGGCAGTGCCGGCCCAGCGCGGCGTGGCGCTGGAGCGCGGTGGCAACCCTAGACTATCGCCCGGCCGGGCCTAGTGGCACCCTGGGTAATTAGGGGAGGCTCGAGCCGGGATCGGAGGACACACGTCCCATTAGCTCCGCGGCGCCGTTTTTCCATTGACGCGGACGGGGCGGCGCACAGTGGGCCAGAAGACCGGCGGAGGGGGTCAAAATCCCGGACGCGTTTTTACCTCTAGAGTCGCTAAATGGGACTCGAACTGAACGTGTGACCCCACCAATGGATTGCTCTCCGAACGAGGAATCCAAGTTGGGTTCGAGTCCCATTAAGCGACTCTGCAGCTCAAAACGCGTCGAGGATTTCGGCCGCCTCCACCGGTTTTCTGGCCCACTGTGCGGCGCAGACGAGGACGGGCAGGACGTCCTCGGTGGTAAGGACTTTCTTTTAGGCGGCCCGCGTGGGCGGGGCCGGGGGTGGGGCGGTGTGCTTCGGCCCTGTGGCTTATCAGTGCAGGCTACCTGGTTAGTGTCCTGCTTCCTCTCCACACTGCCAGAAAACTAAGCCACCTAAAAACGGAAAACGACAACAGACTGTCCGTTTTAAATTTTTAGTCCACCTCGCGTCGGGCTGTGATACAAAGAAAAACCACTTGGAAGCGCGGACCTCGCGGTCGCTCGCGGTGAGGGTTGGATTGCGATTTTAGGAGGGAGGAGGGAAAGACCAGGTAGTCTCGCGTTCGGCTTTCAAGACGAAAGGAATCACGGAGAGTCCAAATGACAATCGCGCTATCGCGCTTCCCACGACCAATCGTTAGCAGCCGCGTGTGTTCCGCGGCGGTTCATTTCCTGAGGAGTCCCCGTGAACCTGAGCGTAGTATTGCATTGCAAATCAGAGATGCATACTCAGCCAGTCATCAATAGTATGAGTGAAAAATAGCATCCCTCCCCGGGTTTGCGTGACACAACCGAAAACAGTAAAAACGATTCGGGACACGGCTCGCGGAGTTTCCGGTGGATACCATGACAAGCAATCAGGGAATCCATCTTCGCAAATCGATAATCGGCTCAAATCAGCGTGACGTTGGGCTGCCTGATACGACCCAACGCTACATTCGGTCGGAGAGGAGATGGCAAAAAGGGTCAGATTCACGCCAGCCCTCCCCGGCAAAGTAATATGGTTCACACCTTGGGAGGCAAAATACTCCATATCAACTTGGAATTTTCGACGCTGTACTGTATACAAGGCAGACTGTGTTATTCCTGCAAAATTTTCACCTTAATTTCTTTGTTTCTCAAAAATATTTTGTTGAAGTTACTTTTAGCTGGCCATTTTCTGCGTCCCCAGAGAAAAGCCACTTGAGAGCCACGATTTTACATCTAACTTTCAAAGTGACACCTCCGAGCTCTCAGGCGAATAACTCTCGAATAATTCGAGCTGCCCTACTGTCATTCCCCCGACCCTCTTTTTGAGCGCGACGTCTCAAGGGAAGCCCCTCGTCAATTTGTTGTGGGCTGGATGCTCGATTCACGAACGCCGAAAAAAAAAAATACGATTTCAAGAAATCCTAGGAGTCACGAAGTCAATTTGATTAAGAGAGTGGAGAAAGAAAAGAAGTGGTGTTGTGAAGTTGTGGCTCAGGGGACTACCAATGGCAGTGGTACCAATGTGGTCGATGTGCCACCCGTCGAAATTTAAACTTGACAATAAATAGAAATCAAAATGCTGGTAAATTCAAAAAATTCCAATGCTAATGTGTTCCGCAGTGTTCTGACAATGGAACATCTTTAAAGACCATCATTATTAAAATGTTCTTAGCAGAAAGAAGGCAGTAAATTAATTTTCAAGGGTTGGCAACAATCTTCTCGGCGTCTACGCCCTTGCGAAAATCGGGAAGCTGAAAGCACCAGCAGTCGGGCATTAAAACTGCCCCTCCATTGTTGCTGACGTTGAATTGTTTGGCTTGTTTCAAAAGGCTATGGTTCTCTAGTCATGTTTTCTTCAATTCTGTGTAATAGTTCTCACTCACAGCGAATCAACACCACGACGGTTGGTTTGACAAACTTCATAAACTCGGGAGGGAAGGTTTCGAAACGCGGGTGAGTCTTGTTCGAGGAACATGAGCACTGCAAGTCGCGAGGTGGAGCGAAGTGGTCCTAGTGCTAACTGAATCACAACAACAACAAAATTGTTTTATTTGAGAAACTTTATGTCAAAAAAAAGAACTTTTGTTTTGCTAATTTTTTGTGAATATTTTTTTAGAAAGTTATCACATAAAAAATTGAAAATTTGTTTTATATGAATTTTTATAAGCAGGAAACAAAGAAAAACAAAAAAGAGAGCAAAATTATACAGATTTCAAATGCTACAGTTGGTTAAACTGTTAAACAGGTTGCAAACCTACTGCGCATGCCCAAACACACTCCGATCAAGAAGTATTATTGGATAGTTCTACCCGAAAAACTGCGTTCGAACCGACACCAATTCTATTGTTGCATCTTGTCTACCTGCAGTCAAAGAAATTTTTCATTTCGAACGCGCCATTTCAGCTTTTGGAGTAAGCTGTACAGACCCAAAATGAAGCTCGGCTATTGGTCCGCCCCGGCTCGGCTCCCCCCACTCCCTTTGACGAGTCGAGTTTTGCCATGGAAACGGCGATTTTGACAGCAAATTTCTCAAAATTGGCCGTTAACTTTTTAACCAGATTTCAGCATGAGAATCAGCGTTCAAAGTTCTACAAGTCTGCAAAATCTCATTAAAATCGTATAGAAAATTTCCGAAATGCATAAAGGGCCACACAAATTGAATCTCGGGCCGGCTGAATCCTGGGTATACTATAAGGCTACTTCGTGCCTAAAAAGGGACTCGCGAGATCTCCTCCAAAATAATCGCAAGCGGAGACTTTGTGATGTTTGCGCGACTGCACGGCCAGCCTGCAGGGCCGCCACCGACACCCCCGATGAAAGTAAAGTCCGCTGGCGCACTCGAGCATAATCCGTTTCAAAAATGTCAATTTTGTTTTTGTAAAATCTCGTCTTAAGTCTCGGCCGAGGAGGGTGCGCGTGGATTGGCTGGACTCCTTTCGGCACTCACTCGCACACTTACGACTTTTGGGGCGGGATGTCCGGGGCTGTCCAGACTGCAGAGGCGCGACTCCTTGACGCGACCGCTTCCGACGGCAACGCACGCACGTGTGGGGCTGGCTTGCTTCGCTTGCTGTGCTGGCATGCCGGCGCCACTCCGACTGCTCTGTCCCGGCAGCTCGGCAGCTCGACTCCACACTCAGCAACAGCGGCAGACGCCTGCCCTGCCCGCCCCGCCGGCCCGGGCCTCCAAGCCAAACCCCGAACGATCAGCGATCGCCCACCGCCGCCGGTACTGGAATATGATGGCCGTGGACAGTGGTTCCAGAATCGCGGGATCGAAAAAGAGGGAGGGGCATGGGCGACTGCCTGGACACTTCCTGGACACAGCGCAGGGTATCGCCGAGAGGGTAGGCAATCAGCCACACATTGCCCCTGAAAGTGGGCAGTTTTGGCCTCTAGCATCCAATTAGTTCTAACAAAATTTAGATGCATTGCGATTTTTTAAAAATTCTCTTTGTAGTTTTCTCATTTCTAACAACTAATGGAATCCAGCCATGCAGCACAATGAAAAGATACGTTAAACTGACATACAATTTAAATAATCACCTTTTAATTGTTCATAACAATATAGTCACATTTTGCTCCTATAGTTAAATATGTCATTTTACAAGTAGGGTACCATCAGATCAATAGAAAACAAGTGACCGCAGAGACGATTATCGGATTGTACTGTATCATTCACTGATGTTACAGCACTTGTAAAAAGCCAAGTAAGATACTAAGTCTTAAATTAAATTGGCATTTTGAAATTCAACTAGTGAAGTATTTTTTTTAACACTGTGCTGGCTGTACCTTTTTTCTCTCTTCATACAGTGAACATAAAAAGACACTTCATAAAAATAACACAGACAAGATTCAGTAACATGTAACTTATTAACACCAGTAATGGTTAAAATATTCTTCCTCCGAGTCACCAAAACTTACAAGTACACTGGTATCAATTCAATTAAAATATTCAGAAACAAACAAAAATATAGCATAATGTACACAAAATCTGAGACATTCCTCACAAGCAGATCTTTCACTCAATCCCTAGAGTCTCAAACAGTGGTTTCCTACAAGCAATTCCAACAACGGACTAACACTCCAGGTTGATTGCTAAGAGAACTCAGGCAAGACTTGTGCAGTCCCGCCAAATATAAAATAGAATCTTTGAATCCCATAAAAAAATTAATATGGGTACCACTTAAACTTGAGATCATTACAGAGGAAAAAACTAAAACGGTTGAAAAATAAAAGAGATTGAAATAGTTGAAGAAAAACAAAAAAACAATGTCAATCATGTAAAAGAGGTTGGGCAAAGTCACAAAATGTACATATGTTTAACAACAGCATTAGCAAGAGGTGGCAAACTTTACAAAAAGTCGAATAATTTCTTAAAAAAGGAAAACAACATACAAGTTCCCAACAGGACCTTTGGTAAAATCAAAATCTATGCTCCAAAATACAACAACAAATGCTAAAAGGATGTGTCTGGAGTTTTCTAGGAAACAACAGAGGTAAAAGGTTTGGCTGGTGGGTTGACACGGGAACACTGCTGTTCTTTTGATTTATCTGAGACACGGAAAAATTTAAGCAAACTTGTTGATGCTCCATTAGAGCTGCTGCCACTTGCAGAAGGATCAGAATTAGATGAACGCCTAGAAGGTGTTTTTCTATTGGTCTGAGTCGATGCACTTTGAGAAGAGCCGGGTGTGACTGGGGCCATGCGGCTGGAAGAACCTTTCCCAGGTGTTGTTCGGCTTGAACTCTTTGCAGGAGTCACTCGGCTCAAGGACGCTCTTGCTGGTGTGGCTCTACTTGGGGCTCCCTTGCCAGGAGTGGTCTGGCTGGGGGTTCTTCTTGAATTTGATGAATGTACAACGGCATCCTGCCCAACAATACAAACATGGAGTAGTGACAATACAAACAGCAACTTGATAATCTTCAACTAGCCAAGAGTTTCACAAACCTGATCTGAGGCACTCTCAGGCTCTTTCTTGTCAGTGGAATTCCTCTCTCTGCGAAGTCTGGTAAGCCAGTCCACATTTTCCTTATGGTGGACACCTGGCGAACACCTGTGATGCGGTGAAGTACCATCCAGAACATAGTTGGGCAAGTTCAATGTCGGAGAGTTGAAACCCATCCTACTGTGACGGGCACAAAGCTTTTTTGGTACAATTTGCGTAGTTTGACTGACAGCATCCTCTATTTTCCCAATACCCTGCAACAAAATCATGGAATAAGCCATGCATACAGACATCAGAAACAATGTAAATTCAATGTAAAGGAATGGTTCTCCTTACCTGCAAGTCATCATTATGCGGGAGTCTCTTATGAGGACTGTCAGTTCGTCTATCACTGATCCTCCTTTTAGATGGGGTGTCAAGGGGTTTCCTGGGTGAAGAACTTGACCCTGGTAGAACATTTTGATCCTCCACAGACGAAGTTTTCTTATCTTTTTTGGGACTGCAAAATGAAGACACTTGATGGGATGCTTCCGCTGTCACTCCACTTCCGACAGCTGATGTTTCATCCTTAGAACAGCTTGCGTTCTCATTGACTTTAAATTTTTTCTGGGGGCTCATCATTTCAGAAGGGTGACATCTCTTCCTGGGACTAGTTCTTCTGGCGGTAGCAGTATCCAGCAACGTGCAGTGCTTCTTTGGGCTTGATGGACACGATGAAGAGGCAGCATCATCTGGGTGCGGTCTCTTCAGGGAACCAATTGGTTCCATGTGGGGCTTCTTCGAGGGACTTTGACCTAGTGTATCAGCCAAGTCAACCTCATCGGCGGAGTGCTTTCTAGCCGGGCTAAACAAACGCCGGGCACCACGGCCTGGTCCAGCTACATTGTCAGGAACTTGGTTTAAAATGGGACGGGCCTCCTTCACACACTCCGGACAGCTGCTATCCTCCTCCCACAAAACTTCCAGACGCTTCTTGGAGCCGTGGGGAGCAGAGAGAGGTAAGGGCGCTCTGGTGGCGATGCAGCGCAAGCAGGGAGTGGACAGGCGATGGCACTGGGTGCAAGGCGCACTGGGCTGCTCCACCTCGTTGTCGGGAGTCCTTTGGACACACGGAGTCCACCGACGCCACGACGTGAAGCTGGGCGTGATTGGGGTGGCTGGAGTGGAAGGGTCCGCCTCCGAACGGCCATCAGCAAAGTCCTCGGCCCAGCCGTGCAGTTCGACTTGGTGGTTGTCTCCTCTGAACTCTTGACCCACCCTCCACATGCAATGCCTCGCATCGTCTGAGCAGGTCACAATCTACGAGGCAAGAACACCACAGATTAAGAATAACTAAAGAATACGCAAAAATACTTCAGAAAAAGACCATGCAAGAACATTTCATACCTTTACTTCTCCTATGGGGCACCAAGCAACACTTGTAACTTCAGCATTGTGGCCAACAAGTTTCACAATAGGCAAGTAAACTTCACCCTTCTTGCTGCTGGTGTCCCAAATGTAGGCATGCTCATCACTGGAACCACTCAGCAGGTATCGTCCATCTGGACTGAGACATGCTTTGACATAAAATGTGCTATTTTTATGGCCTTTGAATAAGGACACTGGAACAGATAAAAACAAATTAAAATCCTGCAATGACTCAACTGAGCTCTAGTCCTTTGAATTTATCAAAAGATAATCTTACCAGGTTGTTCTTCATAAGTAGAAACATTGTAACAATAAATTGTGTTGTCCATACATGATGCATACAACTTGAGTCTACTTGGGTCTAGAGCTAAACATGTAAAACCGCTTCTGCCAGACCCATTAGGGGTTGACATTGAATATTGTGGTTGTGGCTCACGTCGATAAGTTGAATAGCTTTTCCTGATGTCCCACACTTTCACTTTTCTGAAAAGCAAAACCAAGAAGGATTAAAATAAAGCATTGCGTAAATGGTTTATGAAACATCATAGGCTCCATATCTTACCCATCACCAGCCCCACAGGATATGAGACTGTGAGCATCCTGAAAAGCAAGTCCAGTTATACTGCTAGCTCGAGAAGGTGTTGGTTTAGTCCTGCGATTGCGACCTCCTGATGTATTTCCAGGAGTTCCTACAAAGAAGAAATAAGCAGTTAAGAATATAGATAAATTTTCAAAGAACAATTTCTTTTTTCTCTCTACTCACCAGGGGCACTGTGCGAGTTACTGATGAAATTGTCAGGCCGAATAGCAAGTTGATTCCTTTGAATCCGAGTATCCCAAAGCATGATGACTCCATCTCTTGCACCAGTAGCAAACATCACTTGAAACAGTAAAGATTTTCATTTAACATCATATTTTAGGTTGAGAGAAAATAGCCTTTTGATGTGGAATGCAGTAGAACAACACCTTTGAAATACTTACTCTTATCATCATGGGGGAAAGCAACCGTTTTGACGCTTCTTGTGTGCGCATGGAATCGGGCAACTTCTTGAAAGTTACCTGATTCTTGCACATCCCACAAAACGGCAGTGTGATCTCCTGAGGCACTGACCAACTTCATTTCTCCTGGTGCCCATGCAATGTCAAATATGGCATTGTGATGGGCTTGGTGACCTGTGAATGCCAGACCCACAGAATGAATCACCGTACCCCAAAGGAGGAAATTGAACCCACAAGAGTCAACAAGCTCTTGGACTTACCTTCAAATGGGTTGTGATCACTGCGTAGATTTGTGTTTTGGAGAGCGATTTTACCATCTTCGTTGGCCAAGGCCAGCAAGTGCTCATTTTTAGGAGTGGTACAAAACGTACAAGCAAACACTGGAGGTTCTGGGTTGAAATCTGGGCCTTCTGTGCTCGGTACTATTCCTCGGAACTCATCATAATCATGGCACTTCAAACGTCTGAGTGCAATCCTGTAGTCAGACCAAGTTCCTGGACAGAAGGATACAAATTGCAAGTTAACTTAATGATAGACAAATCTAACCTCTCAATCGTCGTTAAGAAACACGAGAATTTTACAACAAATATCAACGAAACAGACTATTTTATGTTTCTCAGCGAAAAAGATGCAAATTTTAAGTTCGTGAGAGGAAATGTTGGTGAACACATGCCTTGTTTTATTATTGTTTGAACGTTAAAAGGCTCAGCAGAACAGTAACGATCTCAGGTTTATCGGCGAATACTTACTTTTTCCTTGTTCCCGTACGTTGAGAGCGTCGACAATATTCATTTTTCGACTCTGAGTTCAAATGATGGGCAAAAATTTAACGTACTTCATTTACTATCAGAAAAATAAAGCGAAAATCCATAAACTGTCGACGTTTGTTGTCCTCAATCTCGCGCGAAGACGTGTGTGTTATTGAAGTGCTGCCAACTTCCATGTGAGAACTCAAATCTATGAACAGCATTCCAAAGAAACACTTCTAGTCCAATGCAAGCCACAGTTTACATCATCGAACAATGAACACTAGATACTTTCTCCTCGAAAAAAAATTGTTTTCTGTTAAGTGGAATGGCTCTAGATGAACATGTTTTTTTGTTACCAGCTTGGAGCTAGTGTTCAAAAGCGCGCTAGAAAATTTAGTGGCGTGATCGATTCCTCGCACGAGGCTACCTTCAGCCGATATGAAAAACTTCACGCTGATTAAGGGAAGCAAGGGAAGGTCCTTAAACGACCACGTCAGGGATGGCGAAAAGAGACAGGGACCGTCGGGAAACCAAAACCAATAGAAAAATCGAAACCCCCAGACAGGAAGCGTGATTCTGAATGCACCCAAATGCATAGTTGGAAATGTAACCCAGGGTGAGAGCAGGTGAGAGTAATGTAACTGACGGTAAAATGGTTGTACTATTTATTCAACGTCAAATCAGCAATACACATTTAGTAACACATGGTCATAACTGTAATGCCGGGCTAGTTTGTAGAATATTTGCTCTCTAGTCAAAAGAATAGTGACCCTTGTTCATTCAGAAGAAAACTTAGTGAAACTGGCTCATTTTTTAAGAATTGAAATTCTAAGCGCTTATAATTAAGAGAGGTGACTTGAAAAAACTTGTTGGGTACTTGTTTCAAGATTATCAAGATTCATAAATTCAGTCACAATAAGTTGGTATTATTAAAGGAATTTGCTTGTAAGGTTTAGTGCAAGAATACACAGTACACAATTGCACCTGTGATGCTCATTTCCATAATCACATTTTTAAAAAGCCAAGATGGTAATAAAGTTACAGTCCGTTCAGTGCAAGATTTCAAAATTACAAGCAATGAATATGTAAGTTCTTACAACTCTATGAGGCATCTCACAATCAAACCGCACTGGTCATTTGTAAAAAGAAAAAAAGAGCATCCCAAACTCTGTGTAAAAAATTGCAATTTGCGTGATTAGGTGAGACTAAGTGTTACAGTTTCATACCTAGTAAAGCTTACCCAACTAACCTTGTCACCAAAAGAAGATTTTTAGTTTAGACACCATGAGACTACAAAGCTAAAGTTTCTCATCTGGAAAATACTAATTGGGAAAAGATAGCTGGTGACAAGGCAGATGGCTTTCTAGAACTTAAGCATATAATCAGGCCTGAATACATGCAAATTTAACAGGTAGAAAAACTTTACATAGAGCGTGTTATTATACATAAGAAAGGAATGCAAAACATTGACTAATATTTAATACAACTCCTTTCCAAACATGACAATTGCTTCTGTGTGTCACACAACACACATAGTATCACAATAAATTGTTCTTGATCTATCATTAAATGCTAGACATCAGGAGAACTATTACAGAGGGACCTCAAAAGCAGACCTTAGACTCAAATTAAATACTCAGTCTTTGCATAATTAGTGTTGAAGGCTTTTAACAACAACTGAGATCTTTTCCCTAATGTCAGACTTCTTCTTCACCAATGGCCCATCAACTTCCAGGAAAGCTGTTCGATTGATTTTGCCTGGAACAAGTTTCTCTACATACAAAGCCTGCTGCTGTGCCAAAACCTCCTTTAATGCCTGAAAAATGAAATTTTTTTTTAAGGATTATTTGTTGTAATGCAACTAGAGGTATGTTTCAATTTTAAATATATCAACAACCCTACCTTGTCTAATTTCTGAAGCTCAGAAACTTTTTCAGCAAGTTCAGGACCATCAGATTTCAACTTTGTTTGGTGATCAGCAATAGCTTGAGTCTCAGCTTTTAGGTCACTTGTAACAGATTTTAATGATGAATTAAAGCTGTTTAGATCTTTAATTTGCCTGAGCTTGTTCAGTTGGTCGTCATAAGCATCATAGGCAGTCATCCTCTTAAGTTGGTGGCCTGATAATTAAAAAGAGAAATACATTGTAATAAGCAATGGACCATAGGTTTTTATGGAATAAATAAATTGAAGTGATACCCACTCAGAACCTTGTCCACCAGACCAGCAATGCGAAGTCTGTTTTCACTGGCTTCGTCCTTGTTGATAGAGAAATCCAGGCGGACGTAGATGATGACAAGAACAAATAGGAGGAACAGGGCAATTATCAAAAGAAGAGGTTCTTGCAACATCAACAGCCGTGGGAAAGTGTAGCTAATCTCCACATCCTGAAAGCAAGAAAAAATCCATGATACTCAATTGCCTTAAAAAATAACTCAACTGAATAATAATGTGGGATTATCAGGTACCTGGATGTGATGCTCAATGAGGTTGGTTTTGTGCAGAACAACAACAGGGCGGCCCTTGGTGTCCAGGTAAGTAAAATGAAGAGTATCAGGAAGACGATTGATGGCGTATGGAGCCTTAAGCTTAATGTTTGTGCAACCCTCAGGAAGAATAATTCTGCAACATATAATTAATTTTTTTGTTTAAATCTCTTAGTAGATTAAAATTAGAAATTAACAGTAGAGAGGAAATAAATGATTACCTGGTAACAGCATCATCTACAATCATATCATCAAAGATGTGATCAATAAAACGAATCTTAAGGATATAATTGTCACCAGAGTTGTACAAGTACTCGTAGCTAGGCACATTGTAGCCAATAACATAGTGAGTTTTCCATCCTCCAAAGAGAGGGAACCTGGGACGTAAATTTAACTCAACAGCATCACTCATGACTCTCATGTTGGAGGTAGAAATGTTTCCAATATCATCCCGGTAGTAAGCATCAGTGGCAGATGCGGGGAGAATGGTCTTGAAGCTTTTGACACTTGACAATCCACTGCCACTCTCTCGTTGGAACTCGAAGCGGGAGAATGAGCCTTTCAAAATGGCTCCAGTGTGCTCCAAATCGACGGTCTCTTCAATGGCAATGTTACCCCAGTGAGACACTTCAATTGCTCGCTGCAAGTTGCGGACTGTAAGGAATGGGGTGTTGTTCTCGCAATGAATGACCATAGCATCATGGCTGAAGGCTGGGATGTTTTCATATGGGCCGTAGTTGAGGGACTGGTCAGCCTGGCTGACGGGCTTCAGCTTGGTGTAGCTCTCCACATTGCGTGCGCTCAGGTTGACTGTTGTCTTCTGCTTGACGACAAGGTACGGGCTGAAGATGTAGTGGCTGCCAGTGTACTTGATGAGCTGCTTCTCCTTCTGGGAGATCTCCTTGGGGAACGGCTCCAGCAGGTGGCTGTGGATGGTCTCCAGGGTGATGGTTACCGTCTTGCCGGTGCTCAGAGGGGTCTTGAGGTCGACGCGGTAGAAGCGGTGGCCGCTCCTCTCCTGGCCCTTGACGGTGGTCTCCACCAGCTTCATGGGCTTGACGCCCCCCTTGTTGGGCTCCACCAGGATGGCGTTGATGTAGGCCATGGAGGCCGTGTGGGCCTCGTCCACGACCAGGATCACATAGCGAGCCGCCTCGGCGCCCGTGTTCTCAAACACCATCTGAGTGTTGATCTTGACAAGTTGCGATGCCAGGTCGACTAACCTGTCAGCCTGCTTCACCCGCAGTGAAGGGCTGATCACGTCGGGTGCGGCCAGCGACGAACCGCACAAAAACACCAGCGCGACCAGCGCGACGCGAAGCCCCGTCATTTTAAAGCCACACGCAGCACACTGAAATTCGCGACTCTGGACGTGTCGCCGTCGCCACCTCGGCAGAAGCAAACAAGCCGGCTGAAGACGACGACACTGAAAAAGCAGACCGACGTGCCAACTCGCACCGGAAGTTGTCACGACTACGGAGCGCCGCGCCGCAGCGCCAAACTCAAACTGAGTGCTTCGCGGACGGAGATTCCGAGCGCTTTACGGGGTGGTTCAGTGAAAAGAGACCCGATGATGGTTAGGGGAACCTTATCGGGTGTGCTTGAAGTTGAAGATTCGAATCGTACGTCGAAAGTCCTCACTCGGCACTGGAAAAGCCGTCGGAATCGATGAATGGCCGTGAGCTCCATTCAAACTGATTCACAGTCCCTGACACTGTTGCCAACGGACGCCATGTGCCTCGCAGTTTTGGACATCATCGTAGCGACATGCCTTTGGTTGGAAAACAAGTAAGAAACAACAAGGTAACGTTTAGAACCGCTTGCACAAGAAGTCTTTCGGCGTGCTTTAAGCGCTGAAAGAGCGTAAGCGGCCGATCACGGCTAAGGGTTGGCTAAGGGGTGGACTGCTTCCACAAGGCGGTGCCTCGCGTGCCGAAAGGGTTGCCTACGCGTGGCGGGCCGTGTCCGAGGACGCCGTCTCCCTCGCACCCACAGCGCGTAAAGCAGTGCGACAAGGACGCGATGCGCTCCTGCACGCGTCCCTGGCGCCGCTCTCCTGGCTCCCCCACCAGCAACGCGCTCGGGGGACTTCGGCAGACTTCGGGACGCGAAGGAAGCGGCTCGGGCGTCGCTTCGGGTCGCACTCGGCTCGCCTGGGCTGCGTCTCCTGGCGTGCTCTGCTCGTTCGTCAATACAGCACCGTGCTGTGCTGTGCCGCGGTTGGGGTGTGTTTCGCTCGCGCCCGCTCCGTCGCGCCGTCGCTGTCCAGTGCTATGTGTGTGTTCGTGCAGTTTTAGGTCGCCGTCGCGTCCTGTGGATTTTTCAAGGTGTGTACACCCGCCTGGACGGGTGGCAGGACGTCCGCCAGGCCCTCGGGGCCGTGTTAAGGCCCGGAGCCCGTCCCGGAACTGTGTTCCGCTGGGTTCCGTAACCTCCCCTGGCCGCCGGACCCTCGCAGCCAGGTGTGCCCGGGGTGGCCGTCGTCACCGCGCCCCCCTGGACGACGAGGGGCCGTAACATCGGCCTTACGTGGTCCTGCACTGCCGGGCCGAGGCCGCGGCCGAGTATGACGGCAATCCCAGCTCCGAAAAGCCGCTGACGAGACTGGGAAAGCGGCGCACCCCTGCGGAGGCAGCAGAGGAACCACCCCTTATTGTCTGGCGAAGACGGAAGCGAGTGGTTTTCTGGGAAACGCGGGCAGTTGGAGGCGCCCCCCGGCCGGCAGACACCGTTCTGGGGCGTTATAATGCTTGTCTGTGTCATCCCGACGCCGCCCGACGGCCGGGAGCGGCCAGAAAGAGCTTCTGCAAGGGCCACCCCCGCGCAGAAATGGGGTTATGTTAGGGCTGTAAACATTGGCTCGGAGTGACGGACCCGGGGTGCTTGCGGCCACTTTTCGCCGGGTTTGGAGTCTGGTTTTGAACCCGGGTCGGTCGGGCTGGATGCGGGATGCTTGCCCGGTGCTTTCCCTGTCGGGTTTCGGCCGTTTTCGTTGAAAATGAGCCCTTGAAAGAGGCGAGAAGTGGCGACAGGGAGAGCACCGTGGTGCATCAGACGGCTGGCGAGCGCGTTTGCACGTCGCAGAGCTCTCACATTCCGAACTCCTGCTGCGTTTCGCTTTGCCGCGGGTTCGAGTACCACGCTCTGCCGAGTTTTTCCCACTCCGCCTGTACTGGGCGGACCGGCTCCAAGTTCGAATCAGGGTCGCTAGGGGTGCGGGAGGTGCGGGCAGCGCCTGGTAGGTGGGCAACCCTGTGACACGGTTGTACGTCGGGTTGCCTACCTGCCAGATGCACGGGGCCTTTGCTGCCAACCTAGTGCCGACCCCAGTCCAGTTTCTTAGCATGTAAACACGAACCTCTCTCGTGTGCACAGCCGTCTAACCAGGTATTGTTTATGTTGCAGGTGTTTCGGTGTTTCGCAGCCAAAATCATCAGTGCAGTGTCTAGTGATCAGTGTTGAAACCGAGGTCGGGAAGGCCTTCGGTAGCCGCCCCTGGGGGTGGCACAGTGTGTGTTTGTGAAGTGAAAGTGCGTTCATACCGCGGTACCTAGTGCTAGTGCTCAGTGCCCCATTTGGATTACTCTTCTCTGGCTATTGGATTAAAAGCCACCGCCATGGAGGCCCGTCGTATGGATTACCTTCTGCCTCTCTTCTTCGCCCTCGCCTTCGCTCTCACAGGTAAGATGCATGCTTTCTCACTCTGCCCCACGTCGCGAGACCACTTCTATCCCAACCAAAACGGGGTAGAAAGACAAAGGTGGACGTTGTCAAGACAAAACGCCCCCCTCTGAATCCAGTATTTGAACCCACGACTATAAGCGTAAGTCCACTTCGGGCAGCTTGTCCTCCTGCTGGCAAGTGTGTTTCGCAGGCTGTGGTTCAAATACTGGCTTTGGACGGACGTTTTGATGGCCAGTCCACCTGGTTTCGATCCCCTCGCTGGGCGCTTCTGTGTCAAAACCAGCCAAACTCAGCCTCCTGTCAAGGAGGTTGCTTGTCAGGTGGTGGTTTCTGGCATTTGAGCTTTCCAGAAGCTGACATTTTAAAATGAGACATAGAATGTCCCTGACGAGTATCCAGCAAACATTATGGCCAATGAACTCGGCTCGAAACATCAAAATGGGGCTCTAGAAATGGGGAGCACCCTGTCATAAATTTAAAAGCTATGCTGCGAATCGAACTCCAGACCCTGGGGGATACTACCAGCGATTTTAAGCTCCCGGCCATTGATTTTACTGGTTTAACTATTGACAAACGGCGGTACGTTCAATTTCCGTGTGCGCCGATCCATTGAAAAGTGACGAGAAACGTGACGATTCGAACCCGCAACTTGCTAGTCAGATCTGAACCCCTTTACCCACGCGGCCAAGCGCTCTCTCCTGATCGTGGCCGTGCCACCGCGTGCCTGCGCGTGGGCGCGGAGTAGCCTAAAATTGCGCCACCGGACGGTCTTCGGAAATGCCAGGCCGAGGCAGGAGGCCAGAGACTCTGCGAATGAATGCGCACGCGAGGGACACGGGGCACCATCGCGGCATCAGGGAGGCGGTCTGGCTTTTCGGCCCAAGGAGCGGTCCGCCAGCTCGGCCTGTCCGCCTGCCGCTGCCTGCCAGCCTCGTCCGACCGGCGCCTTGTGAATGTGAGGTGGTGGGCGACGCACGCACACTGCGACGCACCGCCGGGTCGCGTCGGCCGGCCCGTCTCGTGCGCACCTGCCGGGCCTGCCGGGCCCGCTCGCCCCGCTGGTCCATCGCATGCTGCAGCTGCTCCCGTTGTTGTTGTTGTTGCTGCTGGAGCGGCGGCGTCAGCTGGGTGCAGCGTTGCCGCGAGGACGCCGCGAGGACGCCGAGGAGGGTCTGGAGGGTCTTGGGGCGGACGAGGAGCAGGGCGAGCGGCGCAAGCTAGCGCAAGCGGGCTGTGTGGGCTGGCGGCAGGCTGGAGGCAGCTTGTCCTGGCGTTCCAGGCGCTGTCCTGGAGTCAGTCCCTGGAGTCGCTTGATGCGATCGTCCATTTGGATGGAGTGGGCTAGCAGTATTTATGTGGGCTGCTGAGGCGGCTATAATGGAGGCTGTCAGAGGCTGCTGGAGGCTGCCGTCGGGTTTGTCGTGGCAGGCAGGTGTCGTGGAGTCTGCTGCGGATGATGATGTCAGTTGCCGGAGAGTTTTGGAGTCTGTTCGGTCAGTGTCAGCTGCCTGGAAGTCTGTTCGATGACAGTGTCAGCTTCCTGCAGTCCACTCGATGACAGGATCAACTTCCTGCAGTCTGCTCGATGACGGTGTCAGCTGCCTGGAGTCTGTTCGATGACAGTGTCAGTTGCCTGGAGTCTGCTCAATCACAGTCAGTTGCCTGGAGTCTGTACGAGGACAGTGTCAGCTCCCTGCAGCCTGTTCGATGACAGCTGCCTGGAGTCTTGCCCGCTCCCTTCCACTGCGCTCTCGGCAGCCTACGGCAGCCCGGCAGGTGACGCGCTAATTATCACCTGGCGTCCAATCGCTGCCATCTTCGTCGAGGGCTCCAGAGCGAGCGAGCGAGAGGGAAGGGGTGGGAAGTGGGATGCCTGCGCGTGGGACGAAGGCGCCAACACGCCGGACGGCCGCACACGTACTTGGCACGTACTTGGTAAGCACTGCGGCAGCTTGTCCAGGATTTCGGCCCAACGAACCTGGAATCAGTTTGGTCGAGTTACGTGGATGAGCGCAGGAACGCGCTTCAAAGTCCCGCCGGTTTACGACGTCCGCGGAGCCCTGGGGTCATTGGGGGACTGGAGGTGTGTGGAGGACTGCGCGTTGCACAGTGGGACAAACCGGTGGAGGCGGCCGGAGGCGGCCAAAACTCTCAACGCGTTTTCAGCTCCAGGGTCGCTTACTGGGACTCGAACCGAACGTGTGACCCCACCAATGGATGGCTCTTCGAACGTCGAATCCATTGGTGGGGGTCACACGTTCCGTTCGAGTCCCGCATCTAGTGACTCTGGAGCTCAAAACGCGTAAAGAATTTGGGCCGCCTCCACCGGTCTTCTGGCCCACTGTGTGGTGTCCCCCAAGGGTTTTAGGTTAGGTCAGTGTCGGTGCCGTGCCGCGTGACGGCTGCATGTTTGATGGCGGCCAAATGCTTGGGGAGTCAATCAGGCTGTGTTGTCCAAAGACGCCCCGCCAAAGCCGCGGCATTATTGATGAAAATTGCCCAATCGGACGTGCCATCTCGCAGTCCGGCCGTCGGTCCGCCTGTCCGCGCCACGCCACGCCAGCCACGCGCAGCCACGCCACCGCAAGGAAGGAAAAAGGTCGCGCCTCGCGCTCACTACGACGGAACCAATAATTTCAGGAAAATATCTAGTAGGTCGGAAAACAGAAAGGAAAACTAATGAAGAGAAGCAACGTTCTACCGGCCGCTAGAGTGTCGAACCCACGTCAAAAATAAGACTATGCAAACCGGAACCAGACACGCTAACCACTGGACTAACACGACTTCACACGCATTGAACACCTCGACCAGAGACAGCGCCTGTCTCGCTGCTTCCGCGTGAGGTACAGCCCGCATGTCTGTCTGTCTGTCTGTCTGTCTGTCTGTCTGTCTGTCTGTCTGTCTGTCTGTCTGTCTGTCTGTCTGCCTGCCTGCCTGCACCTTCGACAATCATCGCGGCGGCGCCTCGCGGTGACTCACTGAGTGACGTCATAGTCCACCCTCCTTCCCCGCCGCGTTCCCCGCCCTGCCCGCCCCTGCCACACCCCAGCGCGTGTCCAGCCCGGAGCGCGTCGCGGACGTCGCGGGGGGTCAGTGGCGGTACGACACGTCGCAGTGGAGGTCCTGCCTGGCCTGCAGCAGACTGATTCCGGGAGGCGTTTTCGCCGCTCTGTGTCTCTCTCGCACCTATTGGGGCGTCACATGAGTGCTAGAGAGACGGGGCGATGTCTATAACTCACACCGTTCACAAATTTTTGGCGATTTTGTTCTTCTGCTTGCCCCGTTCGCGATTCTCCGAGCGTGAAAGCCACCTGATTTCTGGACGGGCCGCGCGTCACTGCGTCACCGCGTCGGCGGGGAGGTGGCGGTTCTGGAGCAGGGCCGAGCAGGGCCGAGCAGGGCCGAGCAGGGCATCCTCGTCCGTTCCGCGTCCGTTCCGCGTCCGTTCCTTAGTCCGTCCTTGTCGGCGCGTCGAGCCCACCCATCCGGAACCAACGGACCGACTCAAGAATAAGACGTGTTCCGGTGCGCGGGGTTAACAATTACTCCAAGTCCACGCCCAAAAAAAAGTATTTTCTTTCTTTCCTTTCTCTCTTCCTGAATTTGTCCTTTCGAACCCTTCGATTAGCGCCAACAGGTGCAGCTCCGGTGTGTTACGCGGTCATCCTAGGCCGTCCATTAGAATTATAAAGGGGCGCCAGCCTTGTTTGCAGAGGGCCAGAGGGCCGGCCTCTCCCCCCGTTCCTTTTTTTACCGGTCGCATCGCTCGCGGTAAATCGATTAGTGCGGCCCCCGGGAAATGTTTTCCGAGAGGCGAGCGGGCGCCCTCGTCTTTGCGAAGCGGTGCGGAGCAGCCAGGCTGCATAACTTGATTCCACCTGGACGTACCCAAATTGTCTGCTTTCGGCTGACGCCTCTATGCGCTTCATGTCGATAATGCCGCACAGTGGGCCAGAAGGCCGGTGGAGCCAAAACTCCAGACGCGTTTTGAGCTCCAGAGTCGCGAAATGGGACTCGAACCCAACTTGTGACCCACGAATGGATTGCTCTCCGAATGAGGAATCCATTGGTGGGGTCACACGTTCCGTTCGAGTCCCATTTAGCGACTCCGGAACTCTGACAGGCTCGGACTGGCCCCCAAAAGGTCCCAGCGGATAAGACCGCAAAAAGCCCCCGATCATCATTATGTTTTTACCCTTCATGACCAACTTTGTGAGGCTACCGCTCCCAAACTAGTTGCGGTCAATAGCCTTCCCGATACAGGGCATGAAAGAGTAGGGTCTTAAGAATACTAGGGCGTCGAGGGAAGCCTTTTACGGCTACTAGATTGGACACAGTGGCCGCCCAAAGTCAGCAAAGTCAGCAAGTTTCCGAGATTCGACCACTTTTTGACCAACTTAGTCGGAAAGTCGTTGCGGTCAAAGCCAAAATCGTTGTGGTCAACGTCTTCCCGATACAGGGCATGAAAGAGTAGGGTCTTAAGAATACTAGGACGTCGAGGGAGGCCTTCTACGGCGACTAGATTGGACACAGTGGCCATCCAAAGTCAGCAAAATCAGCAAATTTCCGAGATTCGACCACTTTTTGACCAACTTAGTCGGAAAATCGTTGCGGTCAAAGCCAAAATCGTTGTGGTCAACGTCTTCCCGATGCAGGGCATGAAAGAGTAGGGTCTTAAGAATACTAGGGCGTCGAGGGAGGCCGTTGACCGCAATTAGATCGGACGCAGTGGCCGCCCAAAATCAGCGAAAACGGCTACTTTCGTCCTATATATACTAGGACTCTTTGACCAACTTTGTGACGTTACTGGTCCCAAACCCGAAAGGCCCCGGCAGATTTTTCTGCCTGTCTGCCCTGGCCAGTCCGAGCCTGACTCTGGAGCTCAAAACACGTCCTGAGTTTTGGCCGCCTCCCGTCTTCTGGCCCACTGTGTGCCGATCGTCCTGGTGTTAGTTGGAGGATCGCTGTGCAAATATTCCTAGGCCGTTTCAAGGGCC